GCATTTCGTCCAGATGAGTTGGAACGGCTCCGAACCATTCTTGATTCTATGAGTAAGCCATCTGATACTAGTGCTTTGACTATGACTGGTATGAGCTCCAAAACTTATTCTTTCCTTTCTTCATGTAATGATTTTAAACATTCTTGGGTTGTTGATTCTGGTGCTACTGATCATATGGCTTGTTGTGCTGACTCCTTTACCTCTTATCATCCTACCATTGGAACTCATACAATAGCCGTAGCTGATGGCTCTCATACATCAGTTGCGGGATCTGGTGACATAAACTTACAGCAGTCCTTATATCTTAAGGATGTTCTTCATGTTCCTAAACTCTCCATGAATCTTCTTTCTATTCATAAAATTACAAAAGATTTGAATTGTACTGTAACCTTCTATCCTACCCATTGTGTTTTTCAGGATCTCGCCACGGAGAAGACGATTGGTAGTGCTAAAGAGCAAGGTGGGCTGTACTATCTGGTGTCACAATCTCCTGCAAATAAAGTAACAAATCACATCTTGATGTCTCATGGTCAATCAACTGCTGATTCTTTGATTTGGCTTCATCATGAGCGCTTAGGTCATCCTCCATTTAGTTTACCCAAATCTTTATTTCCGTTATTGTTTTTTGTCTAAATCTGTTGAGTCTTTTCATTGTGATGTTTGTGAATTTGCTAAGCATCATCGTGTGTCTTTTCCTTCTAGTATTACTAAGAGTGTTCAACCTTTTGATCTTATTCATTCTGATGTTTAGGGTCCCTCTAAAGTCCCTCATGGTTCTGAAAATAGATGGTTTGTTTCTTTTATTGATGATTGCACTCGTGTAACTTGGGTGTACTTAATGCGTGAAAAGTCTGAGGTACCACAACTGTTCTTTCAATTTTATAAAATGATTGAGACCCAGTTTGGTAAAAAACTCAAGAGACTAAGAACAGATAATGGTACTGAATATGTTAATCATAGCTTTTCCCAATTTATAAGAAATAACGGTATGATTCATGAACTTACTTGTGTTGACACCCCCCCAACAGAATGAGGTTGCTGAAAGAAAAAATCGTCACCTTCTTGAAGTGGCTCGTGCATCAATGTTTCAGACACATGTACCCAAATACTATTGGGGAGATGCTATTCTTACTGCAACATTCTTGATCAACCGTTTACCCAATCGGGTAGTTGACCATGTAAGTCCTATTCACTCTATGACTTCTTTTTTCCCTTCTATTCCAACTATGATGAGTCTTCCTCCACGAGTGTTTGGGTGTGTTGCTTTTGTTCATGTTCATAAACATCATCGCAGTAAGTTGGACCCTAGGGCTATTAAATGTGTTTTTCTTGGTTATGTTCCTGATAAGAAGGGCTACAAGTGCTATCACCCTAGTAGTAGGAAATTTTTTGTTTCTATGGATGTTACATTTCAGGAATCTGAGTCCTTTTTCCAAGGTCCTCATCTTCAGGGGGAGAATCCTTCACCAGAAATCTCATCACCTCCCTTCTTTGAGTTTGAATCATCAGTGTCTACTCCTTTACCTATGTCAGTGTATCCTCCACCTGGTCCTGTTCCTCCTGTGTCTGTTTCTCCTTTGTCTGTTCCTCCTATGTCTGATCCTCTTGTGAGTAATCCTCCTGTGACTGATTCTCTTGTGATTGATACATCAAGTACACCAGAGATACGAAAGATTATGACACCTGAAAGAAGGAAACAGCCCACATTGTCTCAGCAGCAACCTCAATCGTCTGAACCACTGGTAAGTCCTGAATCTCATATTTCTGATCATGATGTTAATACTTCTGATGACTTACCCATTACTACTGATTCTGATGATTTACCCATTGCTCTTAGAAAAGGAAAAAGAGCTTGTCCCAAGAAATCTTGTCCCTCCTGTCCCTCTTGTACTCAATACCCTATCTCCCAGTTTGTTTCCTCTGCTAATCTTTCTGTGCAGCACAAAAGCTTTGTTTCAGCACTAGACTCTATTGCAATCCCAAAATCAGTACATGAAGCCTTGAAAGATAGGAATTGGGCTCAAGCCATGCAAGAGGAGATGAATGCCTTGGAGAAAAATAAAACATGGGAGGTTATTGATAGACCTACTAGAAAGAAAGCAGTAGGGTGCAGATGGGTTTATGCCCTGAAATATAATTCTGATGGAACTCTTGAGAGATACAAAGCTCGATTAGTTGCCAAAGGTTACTCTCAAACCTATGGCATTGATTATGAAGAAACATTTGCTCCAGTTGCAAAGATGAATACGGTGAGAGTTTTGTTATCCCTTGCTGCCCATTACAATTGGGATATAAACCAATTTGATGTGAATAATGCTTTCCTCAATGGTGAGTTAGAAGAAGAAGTCTACATGGAAATTCCGCCTGGTTTTGATTCTGTGAAGGGAGAAAATAAAGTTTGTAAATTAAAAAAGGCCTTGTATGGATTGAAGCAGTCACCTCGTGCCTGGTTTGGAAAGTTTACTAAAGTTATGATGACCTTAGGATATAAACAAAGTCAAGGAGATCACACTCTTTTTTTCAAGCACTCCTAAAATGGGAAGCTTACTGTGCTCCTTGTATATGTTGATGATATTATTATCACAGGTGATGATTTTATGGAGAGACAGATTCTGCAAACACGGCTTGCCTCTGAGTTTGAAGTCAAAGACCTTGGGAAATTGAGATATTTCCTAGGGATAGAAGTAGCTCATTCGAGCAAAGGAATCTTTATCAGCCAGAGGAAATATGTTCTTGATCTTCTCAAAGAAGCAGGAAAGCTCGGGTGTAAACCCTCTAATACTCCTATTGAGCAGAATCACAAGATGGGCTATGAAGAGGAGAGTCCTCCAGTTGATAGAGGACAATATCAACGGCTAGTTGGGAAATTGATATATTTGGCCCATACTAGACCAGACTTAGCTTATGCTGTTAGTGTTGTCAGTCAGTTTATGCACGATCCAAGGGAGAAACATATGCAGGCAGTAGAGAGAATTCTTCAGTGTTTGAAAGGTACTCCTGGTAAAGGGTTGTTATTCCGACGTGATGGCAATCTATCTTTAGAAGTCTACACAGATGCTGATTATGCTGGATCCGTGACTGACCGTCGTTCTACCACTGGTTATTGCATGTTTCTTTGTGGTAACTTGGTGACATGGAAAAGTAAGAAACAAGATGTGGTCGCCAGATTAAGTGCAGAAGCTGAATTTCGAGCTATGGCTCAAGGCATTTGTGAGTTACTGTGGCTGAAAATTGTACTTAATGATCTAAAAATAAAATGTGAGGGACCTATGAAGCTGCTATGTGATAATAAGTCCGCTATTTGTATAGCTCATAATCCAGTTCAACATGATCGGACTAAACATATTGAGGTCGACCGCCATTTCATCAAAGAGAAACTTGATAGCGGGTTGATTACCACTCCATACATTTCCACTGGGCGTCAATTAGCTGATCTATTGACAAAGAGGCTTCCTTCAGATAGATTTCAAGAACTTGCTAGCAAGCTGTGAATAATAAATATCTATTCCTCAGCTTGAGGGGGAGTGTTGTAAATAGTAATTATGTAGTCATTTATTAGTAATTATGTAGTCATTTATTTGTATTTATTTAGTCGGTTACTTGTATATTGGGCCAAGCCCATTAGGTCAAAATTAGGTCAAGAAGTCTCTATAAATAGAGACCCCTATGTACAGATTCAAATACGATTCAATAATATTTCAAATACCCTTTTATTTCAAGTGTCACTTAAAATCATTTTGAGCAATTGTGAGCAAATTCTTATCCTTATCATTCATATATTGCTATATAACAATTTCATCTGATTTTTATAAAAAAATTTCCCTGATTTCATCTTTATTAAATATTTTTTATTGGGAAAAGTTCAAATACCTTCTATGATGGTTTGCCTTTAAATCACTTACACCCTACGTTTTTTTTATCATGTTTTTTTTCATCCAAGTCCCTCCTTAACAGTGTTAGAGTTTTTAATTAATATAACTATTCTACTCTTTTTACAAAGATACACTTCAGCTACCTTGTGTCATCTTCTTCCCTAAGTTTTGCAAGGATGTTTTACTATATAAAATTTCTCCAGCTTAAGACAAAAATTGTGAAGTAATAAATTTTCTTTTCCCGTTTGCTGCATAAACTTTTTAGCTATTAAAGCAGAATTTTGTGCCAAAAAATAATGGCTCAACTATGCATGTTTAACTTTTAATGGTTTGTTTGCTTTTTGTTCACATTACGTTATTACAGGAATTTCACAAATTTTGTATGATAAAAAACCTTTGCTAAATTTAGGGAAGAAGACGACACAAAATAGCTGAAGTGTATTTTTATAAGAAGAATAAAACAATCATATTAATTAAAAACTCTAATACTCTTAAGAAGAGACTTGGATAAAAAAACACGAGATAAATTAGAAAAAAATAAATATAAGGGATATAAGCAGTTCAAAACAATGTTATCAAAAAAATTATAAATATACTCAAATAGTTAAAAATAATAATATAAATTCTAAATATTTTAATATAAAAAATAATAAATTATACATTATTGTCCAATAAAGGATCAAACAAACACATAATACTTATTATATTGGTATTTTAGGTTCGGTAAACGACATCTCTAACTATCAAATCAAAATTTCTTGCATAATGCATAATTGAGATAATATTAAGATTGTAGGTACATAACTTATGTAAGTCAATAAGTAACAGATCACTCAAATATGTCAAAATTTTTTTTTTTTGGAAAATATTTTTTTGAAAATATTTTTTTTTTTTAAAAACCCGGGCCGGTCGAATCCGATTTTCACAACAATAGTTCAAAATCAAACCACATGTGGTATTTGAATTTTTTCCTTTTTTATTTACATAATTTATATATATATTTTTTCAAATACACAATGGGAGAGAAGACAATCATATATAATTTGTCAAAAATATTTGCCTCAAATTTAATTAACAAGAATTTTCTTTCTAATGTGAAAAAAAATTCTCTCTATTCTCAAGTCTCTGTTCCCCCTAGAACTAATACTGTCGTATCACAGTCCTCATTCTCCCTCACACAATTTCACAACCTACCATTTCTATTCCACTGTGAAACCCTAGGCAGTAGGGTCGCCCCTCACGCGCGGAGCCATGTCCTTCAGCAAACTCCTCACCGCGGCCCGCCGCTCCCACCGGCGGAGCTCCTCCCTCGCCGCCATCCGATTCCTCTCAACCTCCCCTGCGGTGGCCCCTTCGCCGTCGTCCCCTCCCTCCCCTCTGCCGCCAAACGCGATGATCTACGATCGCATAGCGGAGGCCGTGAAGTCGAAGATCCGCCAGCTGGAGAATCCGGATCCCAGGTTCCTGAAACACGGGTCGCCCAAGCCAACTCTCTCGGACCACACGCGGATCCTGGCGGCGCCGGAGACCCGCGTTACGACCCTCCCTAACGGCCTCCGAGTTGCCACCGAGTCGAACCTTAGCGCGCGCACTGCGACCGTTGGGGTGTGGATCGACGCCGGGTCGCGATTCGAGACGGAGGAGACTAACGGAACGGCGCATTTTCTTGAGCACATGATATTCAAGGGAACGGAGAGGCGTAACGCGCGGGAATTGGAGGAAGAGATCGAGAACATGGGAGGACACCTTAACGCCTACACCTCAAGGGAACAGACAACCTATTACGCCAAGGTTGCCGACAAGGATGTCCCCAGTGCGCTTGATATCTTGGCCGATATTCTCCAGAACTCGCGGTTCGAAGAAAACCGCATCAGCCGCGAGCGCGACGTCATTCTCAGGGAGATGGAGGAGGTATTGCAAGATTGTAACAGAACTGAACAGATTATATTTTATGTTTGATATTATAGTTACAACCTTTTTTTCTGTTGCAATCATTCTCGTTATGTTAAAATCAAATTAACTGTTATAAAGCATGCATCAAATGAGAACAGTTGATAAGAATGTGGTAGTATAGTAAAAGATTACTAAGGGAAAAAAGTTGTAAGTATAACTTTTTTTTTAATAGAACAGAACAGAATTAAAAAAAAAAAAAGATGGTGAATTTAGTTTCATTAATGATTTGCAATACCTAATGTATGAGTATCACTTTTGTGTATGTGTGCAATGACTGATGATAACAGCTTAGAGTAATAGGTTCTTGTTATGGGGTCAGTTATAATTGGAATTTTGTTGTTTGATGTGTTCATGCAAAACTGCTCTATTTTTTAGGTTGTTGTTATTGTTTTGGCAAAAGGTTTATCTTTTGGAACTGTTTGTAGGTTGAGGGTCAAACGGAGGAAGTGATCTTTGACCACCTGCACGCAACTGCTTTCCAGTACACTCCACTTGGTAGAACCATTCTTGGACCTGCTCAGAACATTAAGACAATCACCAAAAATCATCTGCAGAACTACATTCAGACACACTACACAGCTCCTAGGATGGTATGTAAAAAAAATAATGAGGTCATTTCTGTATGTGTCTTCTTGTCTGTGATGGGTGCATAGAATTCACAACTCTGAAAACATGGTCATTTTGTAACTTATATGTAGATTTTTTTTTTTTTAATACTGAAATATGGAAGGTGGACTGATGGCTGTTTTCTGTGTGGGTCTGCTTTCCAAGGTGATAGCTGCATCTGGAGCTGTCAAGCATGAAGATATTGTTGAGCAAGTAAAAAAATTGTTTACTAAGTTGTCAACAGATTCCATTACTACTTCTCAATTAGTTGCAAAAGAACCAGCCATTTTTACTGGTTCTGAGGTAAGAATATTTATGTTGAGCACATCTGAACCCGTCTTGATAGTAAAACTAATAACTATTTCCATCTACTTCTTGTTCTGAAAAATAGGTTAGAATGCTTGATGATGATATTCCCCTTGCACAATTTGCGGTAGCTTTTGAAGGGGCATCTTGGAAGGATCCAGATTCAATTGCTCTTATGGTCATGCAAGCTATGTTGGGTTCTTGGAATAAGACAGCAGTAGGTGGAAAACACATGGGGTATGTGACTTGAGTACCCCTCCCCCTCCTCCCAATAAAATAAGCAAAAAGAAAAATTCCCCTCATGATACTGACTTAGTTGAGCGAATTTTAATCGTGAACAGTTCTGAGTTAGCACAGCGAGTTGGCATTAATGAAGTTGCGGAAAGCATGATGGCTTTCAACACTAATTACAAGGACACAGGTCTTTTTGGTGTTTATGCTGTTGCTAAGGTAAATCTTCATGCAGTTATCTTATGGTGATTTTTTTGAAACAAAGTAACACATAATACTTTCTTTTAAGATTTAAGATTTACATGAAAACCTGAGTACAAGAAGGCAAGTGTCTGCTGCTGCCAAATAAACATTTGCCCGTTCTTAGAGTTTTGCATAAATATAATACCTTTTTACTTCATTTCTTTCCTTCTTTTCTTTGAAGGACTTTTCAGTTGCCTTTTGTAGTCATTAGTGTAGAAAATATAATGGTTATTATGGTCTTCCTTTGCAACATGTGGTAGATGAATTAATAGTTTATGTTTGAAATAATGGTATGCTTAAGTTGTTTGGAAGATTCAATATCTCATTTTTTCTTTCTTTTTTTACCGAAATCGTCAAATATTTCTTGAATAAACCTTTCCCCCCCCTTAATTTATTGTGCTTTCAGCCGGATTGCGTGGATGATTTGTCCTATGCAATAATGTATGAGGCAACAAAGTTGGCTTATCGGGTTTCAGAAGATGATGTTACACGGGCTCGTAATCAGGTGGGCTTCTATATGACATATTGAATAGCTCGTCTTCTATAGTTAAATTTGACGATGAAATTTGCCTTATACTTTGTATAATGAAGCTAATTTATGAATGGCTGTATTCATGGACCAAGATACAATAGTAGTTAACTTTTATTGGCATGTGATTAGCTTAGCGTAGCTATATTTTGTTTACACAATCGACATTACTGCAATTGTATATTGAAAACTTGTATCCAACAAAAAATCATTACTTCAGTCTAATTCTTGAGGTAGGTTCTGTTAGAAGTGTTAATTCTGTAATAGACGGGAATAGAATTTCACCTGTGTTGATTGTATATAACATCCAATGGAGCCATGGCATACTGCTGCAGATTTTGAATGATGAAAATGTCAGATAAATGGAATCAGTTATGGCATTCTTTCTGTCATGGCATTCTTTCTGTCATGGGCTCTTCATTCATGATGCCATATTTTGTGGTCTTTATTGAACACCTTTTGTATGCATATTAAATAAATTTATAGCGGACATGTTTCAGTGTGTAAAACTTACTTGAGCTGGTAATTCTATTGCATATAAACGAGTCTTTTTTAATAATTATGTATTTAAGGTGGCAATTCAATTTGACAGTCACTTCCTCATAATTAAAGACAGTGGATTAAAAGTTTGCTCAAACTGACTAAATTTACGGTTGTTCCGATTCATAGCTTATTGGTGTAATGTAGCTGGAAAAGGTGAATGATGGGAATGGGCAACAGCATTCTATTCTCTGATTGCCTTTCATTTTTTATGTCATGTTTTGTTGTTATTAACTCTATTGAAGATGGTTTCCTTGTTTTTCTTTTTAGCACTTTGAAAATTGTTTTCTAAGGTATGGAAAATTGCTTACGACATATCTCTATTTCTCTATCTACGCTAAGTTCAATTAACGTAATAGATGCACTATATTTTCTTTAGTAAATTTAAGCAAAATTTGCAAGGGTTAACTTTTGTCCCCAGAAAAAAAAAATTGTATTGTTACAATTGTAAATCCAAGGTTTGTGTCAGTTTGAATGTATATGCATACATTCTCTCCGCTCATGTAATATAGGCTTTGGTATACCCATAGGGTCATTGGATTGTTCAGTGTGTATTCACAGTCCTTAAATTTTTATGCTGTTTTTTAGTTATATTACTTTCTTTCATATTTTTTAATCATAAATTATGTTAATGTTGCTTTACATTCGATTCGTTTTTGGTTCCTGTTCTGAGTGCTATAGTTTTGTATAAATGTGTTTTTTACAGTTGAAATCGTCACTGCTGCTTCACATAGATGGAACAAGCCCAGTAGCTGAAGATATTGGTCGTCAGGTACAATATCTTATACCTCACAACTTCATAAAGAAAAGGGGCATTGAAAAATGTTAATTATAACTTTATTCTGTACTAATTTTCTATGACTAAGCTGAACTTTGATAGATGATTATGAAAGAATTACTAGTAATAACAATAGCAACATTTAGAAAATAGCACTTATTTTAAGTTGGTAAGCGGCCTTCTGAGTACAACCCTCCTTATTAATGTTGTTTTCAATATGTGAGAAATGTTTGAAATGAAATAATTTTTAAATTGCTCTATTATTGGATAGGCATGGGTGCTTAGGAGAGAATAGCATTCCCATTGAAATGATAACATATACTATTAAATGAACTTTGGTAGCGTGGCCAGATCCTTTTATGGTAGAAGCTTAGGTGTTTAACTAGCTATGATAAATAAACAGAGAATAAAGAGTTTTGACTAGATTGTGTATCAAAGTTTTTTTTTTTAATTTAATCACATTATTTTGTATGTTGAAGTTTGTAATTCTGTGCCTGTATACATTTCCATGGTCAATAGTTTGTCATGCTGCAATGTTATTAACACTTGCCCTAGATTATAGATTGAAACAAACCGTTTTCATATAATTTTATAAATTTATGATAAGCCTCTTTGTTGCCGAACATACACCCGGCTACCATTTAATATTCAATATTTTATTTGTCAATGTTTGTTCAGCTTCTCACATATGGTCGAAGAATCCCATTTGCTGAATTGTTTGCTAGAATTGATGCTGTTGATGCCAGCACAATTAAACGTGTTGCAAACCGATTTATTTATGACAAGGTATATTTTCTTTAGTAGTAGAGACACCAATTCTATTCCATGGAACTTTCTAGTGGTGGCATGTTTAAGAAGTAATAATCTTGTTATATGTTTTCTCTTGCAGGACATTGCTATTGCTGCCATGGGACCAATTCAGCGTTTGCCTGATTACAACTGGTTCAGACGCAGAACTTACTGGAACCGCTATTAGTTCGTCTTAGTTTTCTGCTTCATTTAACTTTATGAGAGGTCTGGCATAATATTTTGTTTCAATTTACACTATATATGCCTGTGGATGGCTGCTTTGGCCGTCAATTTTAATTTATTTGTTATAGGCCTCTGTTTTTGTAACATTTATGCAATAAGGATGCTGTTGTCAGTGATGTAATTGGCATCCTTCCATACTGCTCTAATTCTTGTTGAAAATGATATTGCCTTAAAGTGCCCTGGTTTCTACTTTCTCCTGAACCTAAGACTGCCTTCTGGACCCTTTAACTTACTGATTCAGTAGTGTAGTTGGATGAATCTGTGCCTAGCGTTGAAACAGATAAAGCTTGAGTAATCTGATTAATTCTCTTTATTATTTAAGTGTTCAGTTTGACTTCTTAGGGATTTTTCAACTGGCCTGATTTGTGAGGGGAGTTGATCAAAAAATTAGCAAGTTTTTTCTCCGTTTCAACAGGTTTGCTTTATGTTCTGTTTTCACTCATTATTGTTAGTTACATGGGACGAATAGGGGGTTATTAAATTCAGATCGGTATATAATAAATACAATAATAGAGGTAATTTAACATAGATGTCGTTGTAACATAGTGGCAAGTGAGACCTGCAACAGCCCTTAGGTCCTAGATTTGGTCCCTAGGATTGCAATCCTTTAAATATTTTGTACAAAATTTTAAAAGTTAATGTTGGTTGAACTCTGGTTTTGTACTGGTTAACGAACGTATTGGATCAAATTATTGGATAGGACCGTTTGGTGATTCGGTTCTCAGTTGAACTGGCAAGTTGACTCAGTTCTAACAACATTGATCAATATGTTTAGGTCTATATATGGTAATAAGATTTAAGAAAGAAACAAGTTGAGCAAGACATTTAGATTACCTTCTTTTTTTTCTTTTTTGCTTTTTAATCATTGGAGGTTAAATATTACATTAAATGTCAATTTGGCTGGATAATCATCTTTGGGCTTAATTATTAGTAGCTTGACGTGAAATTCACATAACGGGATTATCACACCTAATTGAAATTGACAAATTATCTGGTATTGCTTGGATCTTGAGCTTAAGGTTGACAAAATATAACAGTAAATAGAAATAGGGAAAATTATTCTCATGTTACATGAGATAAAATTTTCCTTCTACATATCCTTTGATATCATCTTTTTGTTTTGTTTTCTTTTTATTTTTTCAGGTGATGGAATTTATAAATTTGTCTTTATGACATGAGATAATTTATTTCTTTTAACATGAAACTAATAAAACTCATAGAAATATGAATGTTGGATCACATTGACAATTATTTTCTTGTTATACTCTACAGTCGGTGATACTTGTAACCATCGAAGCGTCTTATATCAATGAAGTATGTAATCACTGTCATGATTCAATATTGCTTTTGGCTTTAGTTGAGTAGTCATATTTACATATTCCACCTTAGATCATGTGTTATAAATATCGTGAGTCTTGAAATGTGGGGGTACATAACTAAAGTAGTCCTTAACTTGTGAGTCATTTTCAAGCAACTGCTTTTCAAAATTAAATTATAAAATTAATATTGCCAAGTGGAAGAATGTTAGAATTATTTATAATTTCTGTAGATCACAATCAATTTTTGTGTTTCTTGTTTTAATATAAATGTATTAAATCATAATTCACGAGGGTGAATTATATAAGCCCACTTAATTTAGTGATTTTTTTTATTTAGACTTGAATATATGTAACACTGGTTAACGTGGATAACAATATAAATCTAATCTATAAATCCATTATATGAAGCTACTAAGGTTAATGTAAGCGGTTAAATCCCCCGCTGCATTCACACTATGTGCATAAACAATTAGTGCACAACTTATTCCATCAAGAGTTGCGAACAATGAACAGTGTGAACTAAACTAAGCACGACAATTGAGGTTATAAAATCTTATCTTCAACAAATAACGTGATCTAATTTCATGTAATCTTAATTTTCAGCCTAAAAATTATGATAACTGTAAACTTTTTTTTTTTTAGTTGAGTGAAGACTTGAACATAGAGAGTGTGACGGGGTCTGCTTGTGACAAATTTTGCTTTCACCTACGCAGCTATCTTGAAAGGGAAAGAGAAAGGCAGCTACTGTAAGTTCATTGGCTTTAGACACTGCCTTTGATACGCCAAATTTAATATCCCTTTCAATCTCTCTGATATTTTCCTTAACCAGCCTTGGTCCCTTGGATCCAAGAAAATGAAACTATATAAATAATCAATGGAATAGATCACAATTACAAAGCTTGGATCTTAATGATTCGACTTTGTGCACTAGTGAGCCATACAAGTCTGGTGAGACCCGATAAGCTAAAATTTCGTTACTTAAGTTAAAAAAGAAAATTCATGTTAAAAAAAGAAGGAAAAATACTTTTATGATATAACTTTTTAAAAAAAAAATAAAAAAATTAGAAGCTATTCTTTTTTATTAAAAAATTAATAAAACTTTTTTATGATTTTTAAACTTTCTAAAATTTATCTTAAAAAAAATTCTAATTATCTTCATGATTTTATCTAATTCAACTCACACATTTTGGAATTTAACATAGTTTATTCTTCGAAGCATTATCTTGAAAACTGCGTTGATAATTTAATTAATGAAGGCGCTAATTTACAGTTTACTGGTTCGAATTCAAATTGTGATCATTAAAAATATTTTTAATAATGTATTGTATATTAAATAATAAATCAAAAAATTATTAAAAAATTAGGATATGTAAAATTCTAAATTAGTGTAAAAAAAATCCTATTTTATGTTTATAAAACAAAAAAATAATAAAAGTTTAAATAATAAAATTTATATTTTTGCATTTAATTGTCTTTCAAAAGTATTTTTGGTTGAATAAAAAATAGAAAAAATATCGGTTTTAATTGGTTTTGGATCAATGCAATCGGTTCTCTAATCCTCTATTTTTTTGGATTTTTTGAGTCGTTGACCTCGTAAGTTCATCAATCGAATCCACCTGTTCAGTCTGGTCTTTAAAAAATCTGAAGTCTGAATGTAGCTCTTACTTTTAGGCACAAGAAGGGTTCACATACACGTTTGTCTTAAAAAATAAATAAATCTAATTCTAAATCATGTATTAATCATATTATAATATGAATATCTTTTTTTATTGTTGATATTTTGTAACTATTATAATGATTTTAAATTTGATGCTTTGTCAGGTCATATTTTTTTAAAATATTAATGATACATTAAAACACATTAAAATATTAAGTTTTTAAATAATATTCAATGTCAACCTTAGGTCCATGTATCCCTTGGGAGGAGACCGATCTCTCTTAAAAGCTACTAGCACGGATCTGCATGATGTTAGGCTCGTCTTGTCCAAGTTCATCTTTTTGAACGCGTTCAATAAAATTATGTCGGTCGAACTGCCGGGATCCACAAATATCCTTCGAACACGACAATTGCCAAGATTGCTGGTGATGACGAGTTCGTCTTCATGCCTCGGTATTACGCCTTACAACTCTTTTTTTAGTAAAATACAATAGTCTTGAGATATTTCCTTCATTCGCTTGTTGTGTATCCCCCTCCACTAAGAGGGTCGTTGATCATGTTACAGTCCAACTCGGGCTCTTGATATTCATCACTATTGGAGTCGGGCTTCTGCCCCTTGTCCTTCTTTTTGCGGTCGTTGATCATGTTACTCCTGTTGTGGCTCCTCTGCCTCCGCTTGTCATTCTTCCTCCTTTGGGTTCGTATCAGGTATTGGCGTAACTTGCCTTTCCTAATGTGCTTCTCAATCGCATCTCGGAGGTCCAACATTTGTCAGTGGTGTGACCGTGTCCATCATGGAATGTGCAATACTTGGAACGTCGAGGCCGCCCTTATTGCAGATAGGCCCGGGAATCTCAACCTTCTTAAGCTTGGTCTAGGCTAACTCCCTCCAGATATGGGATCTGGCTATGTTGAGGGGTAGTATATTTTTCATACCTCCCTTTGAAGACATGATCGTTTGCATTTTTTTTGCCGAAATCATAGGGTTTTCTATTCTTCTACCAATCTCCATCCCAAGTTACGTCCCCTTTGTGCACCTTAGACTATAGCATTGATTCTTAAAATTCTTAAAACAATGAAGATAAAATACAAATTATGCATTTCAAATAATTTTCAATGGATTTTTGACATGTAATAGTTGTAACAATAAATCAATTGAGTAGAAAAGTTGCATTGCATCAACGAATACGTTGTATTTCATCTTAGAACTAAACAAGTTCGGCAATGAAAACTTTGCTTTTCAAAATTATATTATAAAATTAATATTGTCAAGTGGAAGAATGTTATAATTGTTGTAAAATTAATAAGAACTAGAAGAAGAATATGGAGATAAGAGAAATAGGGGAATGAATTCTTATTGTATTATAGTACGTTCATGATGCTTTATACACGCCTTATTTATAGGCTCAGAAAACATGAAAGATATAATAACTACAATTACTTCTTTAATGGTCATAACGTTTCCAACAGTCATAACGTCTTTAACGGTCATAATGTCTCCAACGATCATAACAGTTATATAACGGATTGGACAACCAATAAATTGTTTATAACACTACCCCTTGGATGTCCAATAATCCTATTGAGAAGAAATATGTATGAGAAGCTGCCTCATTAAAAACCTTACCAGGAAAACCCAATGAGACAAAATCATGGTGAAGGAAAAAAGAGTGCAACACTTATTTCACTCCCTCTGATGATAACATTATTTAATATCTCTGAGTTTACGCATCCCGACCTTGTATAAAAATTTCTCAAAACTTGAATAGGTAATGCCTTGGTAAATAAATCTGCCAAATTATCACTTGAACGAATTTTTTTTAACACCATGAAATAATTATGCTTCCACTTGTGATCGAAATCTTGTTTGGGTGCCTTTGTGTGGCTCAGGTAAATAACCTGCATTATAATTATTCTAGTATCTTCGTATTGGATAAGAGTATGATCCTGCTAATAGACTTACAAACAAGAAAGTAAAAATGTGAGGGTAAAAAGGGGAGAAGATGTGGGGTTAGAAAGTTGAACATCCACTTATTTGATATTTTCATAACTCTCCCTTGGATGTTCATCCTTAATTATATGCTAATAGATTGCCTCATTAAAAACCTTCACAAGAAAAACCCGTTGGGATAAAAACTTGATGAAGGAAAAAAGAGTGCAATTCTTATAACTCTCCCTTTGAATTTTTATTGTAGTTATCATATAAGTAAATATAATATCTCCC